AAGTAAGACAATATTATTTTGAATTTTATAATAATGATATACCCTGCCACTAATACTACCCCCCTTCTAGTAAAATATCCCCCTGGGTATTAATCAATTTATTAGGGGGTAAATTGATTAATACCCGGGGTATTATATGCAGTGGTATATGGTAGTATTAAGAAAAAAAGAAAGTGAAGAAAAAAAAAACAACTTAAAAATTTTCTAAAAAGAAAATTTTCAAGTATAAAAGAGAGATTGGAAAAAGTTTTTTTTTTTAAACTCTTTATATATATGTCAGATACAAATAATTATCCTGATTATTTTTACTATTTCTATTATTTATAAAATCTTAACTATTTTAATTATTTCTAGAATTATTAGAATAATAGTAATTATCAAAATTCTTGAGATTTTAAAGTTTCTAGAAATTTTTAAAATTCACAATTGTCATATTACATAATTAGTATCAATTCTAACCTTTATAATTAATTGATATTTATATTAGTTTAAATTTGAAATTTTTATTGTTTTTATGTTTTTTTTTTTTTGTAGATAAACATTATTTCTTTATTTAATTTGTATAGAATTAAGTATACATTGTAAAAAAACATCTTTTATATATAGTAATACAATGAATTAAATGCTAACTTGCTTATAGTAACTGTTTAACTAATATTGAAAAGAAATTTTTAAAACAATATATTTTGTCAAGTGATCTCTAAGCAGCTATGATTATCTACTTAGTATTCAAAAAAAGAAAGTTAAGATAGTTAAATATTAATAAAGTGATGCATTTAAAAAAGTTATATACATTTTGGATATATGAGTTTGTAAATATAGTTAATAGATTGATAATAATAGAGATTTGTATAATAGTGAAGAAAGAGTTATCAGATGATTTTGGTTTGGTAATGATCTGGATATTGTTTTGGTTAGAGTATTAGAGGAATCCTTATTTCATTTTATACCAGAAAGGGGCGAGATGTTTGCTGTAGTACAACAGGGTATTTAGATTAATTTGTATAGATAAGTTAGGATTTCTGTTGATGCTTCAATCCATTTAAATAGACTGGCTGTGAAAAAGATATTGTTGGTAATTGCACATACAAGTTTTGTTAGTTGCTAAGCATGTGAGAATTGTTTTTAATTTTTTTTGCAAATAATATTTGAATATTATAAATTTTTTAATTATAGATATATTTTCTTTATAAAGCTAAAGAATAAGTAGTTTTTAATAAAAAGTTATAATATAAATATTATAATATAAATATTATATATATTAAGTTGTAAATAGTTATTAGATATAAAATCAGTTAGTATATCAAATATTCCACTACATATAAAGTAATATATTCTTTATACTTTTGTATATTGTTCTTTTAATTTAATAATTATATTTTTCTTTATAATTCACAAAGTTGTTAACTACAATTCTATTTTTATTATAGAATCAGTAAAAAAAGCTCCATTTTTAATACCTTCAAACTTTTCAAAATATTGAATTATTCTTGTTCATGACTTCAACTCTTCTAGTGACTCCATATCAGTTTTGATGCTTATACTTCTTTTGATTTAATCAAAACTGCCAGAGCTTTCTCTCAACAATACATTACAATGCATTTTCTGTGCCCATGCTTCAAAAGCCAAGATTATCCAAGAGACCTCTTCAGTCATCAAAATGCAAAAACGTACGCTCTAGCACTAGAGAAATTATCACAAAGTTTTTGGCAACAATCTCAATTACACTTATCATTTATCATAAAAACAATAAAACATATACTAAATTGAAAAAATCAGCAATGTATCACCGCCCCTCCCTCCAACACTCCATTTTAAGAGGAGTCAGACATTTTTGAATATATTTTACTTTATTGTGCCTGGAGTAAAAATAACATTGTGACCCGGAGCTAATCCGGAGTATATTACTTTGTTAAAACCTCTTACTATATCAAATAGGAAAAGATAAACATGACTACATCTCCAGTTTGTAAGGAAAATGAACGCTGATACCCTTCCTTTAATCAACCTTGAACTCTTTCTAAATGATAGAGATGATCCATTGGTAATTATAGAATGTAAAAAGACTGCGAACACTTTAATAAATTATGGTACTTTATTAGTAAAGGATCCACGGGTAACAGAAGAAGACAATTCTCGATTTTTAGATTTAATGGAAGATTATTTTGCGCAACCTTTTGAGACTAAGCTTAAAGATGTTCGTTCGGGAGTTGACTATCAGATGGGAGTAACACCTGAATTAAAGGAAGAACCAAGGTGTCATCGCGATCCTAATTGTCAAGATATAATTGCACAAATTCCTGAGGATAGTCGACTCCTTCCTATCTTGGGGCCTGATGTGAAATGGGATTTGCTTGGAATATTGGGGAAGTATCAAAAATAACTAAATTTTCTAAATTGAATGCAGAGCCGGTTATTCCGGAGGCATTCAAAGATACTTGGTCTAATATTATGAATCAGTAGGGAAATCAAATGCATCGTGCTATTTCACAAAGAATGGACCTCATCTTTTGGCTCCCACAGGCAGTGATTTAAATAGATACAGAAAACTTAACACAGTTCTTGCGGGTTTTCATTATGATTTAGGTTTTATGACGATTCATGGTAAAAATTGATTCCTTGGGTTACACATTTGGCCACGAAATGGACCAGTAAAGATACCAGTTCGAATTCCAGATGGATGCCTATTAGTGCAAGCTGGCAAACAGCTCGAGTGGCTAATGGGTGGTGAAATAAAAGCAGGTTACCATGAGGTGGTAGTGACAGAATCCACACTTAAAGCTATTGAAGATGCAAAGAAAATTCGACCAGAAAGACCTTTATGGAAGGTATCTTTGACTTTCTTTTTTCATATTTTGAACGAAAATCTGCTAAGTCCATTAAAATCGTTTATACCTAACGCGCTTTATCCACCGGTCCTCACTGGTAATCAAGTGAATCATGAATTGGGGCAGATTAATTTAATGGAATCGTAAAAAAATAGTGACAGTGCGTTCAACTTTGGTCATAAATTTAAATTTTATTATGGAAAGAAATTTACTATATGTCTAATTACGAAAAAAATTTTTCATTTGTTGTTATTTATTATTATTATGAAACAAGAAAACAGCTTACTTAAGGATAACTGCCAAGTCATTGGTGATTGGCGGAATGGCGTGAAGCCAGTTAAAACAATAAAGCGGTAAAATTTTCCAAAAGCAACTGTCTACATATTGTAAAAAATCGTAAATCTTGTTTAAACTATCTTGTGCAACTTTTGAACCAAGAACATTTAATAAATAATTTTATTAAGTTATTATCTATATACTGTATACTGTTGGGTTGGTGTTAATTCTTGTATCTGAATATCTATACATTATACAAACCGTATAAATATTTCACTTAATCGATAATTCTTCGTTTTTTTTAATCAAAAATAATGTTTTCTAATATATACAGTGTGAGTCAAAATTATTGGAAAAAATTTTTTATTAATAAACTTTACAACTATCAAAGCAATTTAGAC